GTGAAAACACGCCGGGACGCGTCACGTGTTCTTAGCGTGTTGTGAAAACACGCCGGGACGTGTCGCGTGTTCTTAGCGTGTTCTTAGCGTGTTCTTACCGTGTTCTTAGCGTGTGCTAAGCGTGTTCTTAGCGTGTTGTGAAAACACGCCGGGACGCGTCGCGTGTTCTTAGCGTGATCTTAGCGTGTTCTTAGCGTGTTGTGAAAACACGCCGGGACGCGTCACGTGTTCTTTGCGTGTTCTTAGCGTGTTCTTAGCGTGTTGTGAAAACACGCCAGGACGCGTCGCGTGTTCTTAGCGTGTTCTTAGCGTGTTCTTAGCGTGTTGTGAAAACACGATGAGACGCGTCGCGTGTTCTTTGCATGTTGTGGAAACACGCCGGGACGCGTCGCGTGTTCTTAGCGTGTTCTTAGCGTGTTGTGAAAACACGCCGGGACGCCTTGCGTGTTCTTAGCGTGTTCTTAGCGTGTTGTGAAAACACGCCGGACGCGTCACGTGTTCTTAGCGTGTTCTTAGCGTGTTCTTAGCGTGTTGTGAAAACACGCCGGGACGCGTCGCGTGTTCTTTGCATGTTCTTAGCGTGTTCTCAGCGTCTTGTGAAAACACGCCAGGACGGATCGCATGTTCTTAGCGTGTTCTTAGCGTGTTCTTAGCGTGTTGTGAAAACACGCAGGGACGCCTCGCGTGTTCTTAGCGTGTTCTTAGCGTGTTGTGAAAACACGCCAATACGTGTTGCGTGTTCTTAGTGTGTTCTTACCGTGTTCTTAGCGTGTTGTTAGCGTGTTCTTAGCGTGTTCTGAAAACACGCCGGGACGCATCACATGTTCTTAGCGTGATCTTAGCATGTTCTTAGCGTGTCGTGAAAACACGCCGGGACGCGTCACATGTTCTTAGCATGTTCTTAGCGTGTTCTTAGCGTGTTGTGAAAACACGCCGGGACGTGTCGCGTGTTCTTAGCGTGATCTTAGCGTGTTCTTAGCGTGTTGTGAAAACACGCCGGGACGCGTCGCGTGTTTTCAGCGTGTTCTTAGCGTGTTCTTAGCGTGTTCTTAGCGTGTTGTGAAAACACGCCAGGACGGATCGCATGTTCTTAGCGTGTTGTGAAAACACGCAGGGACGCCTCGCGTGTTCTTAGCGTGTTCTTAGCCTGTTCTTAGCGTGTTGTGAAAACACGCCATGACGCGTCGCGTGTTCTTAGCGTGTTCTTAGCGTGTTCTGAAAACACGCCGGGACGCATCACATGTTCTTAGCGTGTTCTTAGCATTTTCTTAGCGTGTTGTGAAAACACGCCGGGACGCGTCGCGTGTTCTTTGCATGTTCTTAGCGTGTTCTTAGCGTGTTCTCAGCGTGTTGTGAAAACACGCCAGGACGGATCGCATGTTCTTAGCGTGTTCTTAGCGTGTTCTTAGCATGTTGTGAAAACACGCAGGGACGCCTCGCGTGTTCTTAGCGTGTTCTTAGCCTGTTCTTAGCGTGTTGTGAAAACACGCCATGACGCGTCGCGTGTTCTTACCGTGTTCTTACCGTGTTCTTACCGTGTTCTTAGCGTGTTCTGAAAACACGCCGGGACGCATCACATGTTCTTAGCGTGATCTTAGCATGTTCTTAGCGTGTTGTGAAAACACGCCGGGACGCGTCGCGTGTTCT